CTGTTGCGAATTTAAAGTAAAAAGCTTCTGATATTTGAATTTCGCTCGTACTTACTTTTTCTTGTCTTTGTTGCGGAGTATAGTAGTGAATTTTGCTACTGTTGATAATATAGGGTGTTCAGAAGTTCCTGTTGAATTTACGAAAAGGCTAAAAGAATCTTCGTTACATTTTACATGCTAATTAATTAGGCCTGAGTATGTTAAATTCTGTATTACTTTGTATCAGTTAATATCCTCGTACGACCATCAAAATTTGATACTACACAGATTGAAATGATAAAAATGAACGCTGATAAAAAGAACGCTTCGTTAGAAAATATATGGCTATGTTCGAATACTCTTTGCAACCACTAAATAGCTGTGTAAATTCACTAAAATCCAACATCCTTTACATACGCACCGTGTTCTTGTTTGTGTTCCCGCGTATTGTCCCCTCCCCCTACCCATTCCCAGTACAGCAATTTTTCACATTACCTTCTTCAAGTTTACTCTATTTTTCCGCGTCATACGCGTCCCACGCGACACTAACCGATTCCTCTATTTTTCTTCTTACATTCTCACCCGCGAGTATAACATTCCTACCCTAGGTGCACCGTCATTGCTTCCTTTCTTAAATACGCACTGTCATTTCTTCAGCGTCAGCGCGTAGTTATTATTCCACAGACGTTCCCTCAATATTCTTCCCTTCGTCGCACTTCTCTCTGTAATTCGTCCAGCTTCGTCATCCCTCGCTTCCACAAATCCAACCTCACCCTCCTCCATTTCATTGCCTCTATCTCTCTCTATATTTTCTTACCGATCATCAATCTATCTCAATCTCTTCGTCTCATCGAACCGTTATATTTCTTCTTTGCTTCGGTTTCACGATTTACAAAGCATATCTCGGTGAGATGTATAGCTTGAATTATAACGAGATTGGATAACATCGAATTGAAGATACGATATAATAAGAAACAATACCATCCGCGTTGTAATACTTCTGTACTTCTACCAAACCGAAAATAACGGATAAAGACATGACATAAGTATAGAATCGATTTCATACAATGACAAGTGTATTTTGCTATTCGAGAAAGGAAACATGAATTTAACGTTTCGGCGAAGAATTTCAAAAATAGATTATTTCTCAAATATAAACTTCAAATATAATTGTAACCCTCTACAGGGGAAAAGCGAGTCGTTTATGTACAATTAAAAATTTTTTTGTTATTCTACATGTTTCGAAAACATCTGAACAAATTTTTCTCTATTTATCAACACTATCATACAATCATCAAAGTGTATGTATATTATATATACATATACATAGAAAAAATATTCAATATTTTCTTCAGCAAGAAATAAAATTCGCAGGAAGACCCAAGAGATGAAATTTCAGTTGATTTGAATAATATTATTTGAAATTTTCTGCCAAACGACGAAGCTCTGCTCCAAATCCGAAGCCACCCTATTTTCATCTCCCTTACTCGTTCACTTTTACTCTCAGCTTTCACCTTCTTCACCCCCTTTCGTTTCTTCCTCGTGTCAGTTTCTCTCTCCTTTACAACCCAGCCCAACCTCCAAGATCTCTTCCAACCCATATAATCCCGACTTACATCTTTCTCTCTTCCTCCATCTCCTCTCCCATTCACCACCTTTCCTTTTTCAGCCTAAAACAGCCTCAGTTAGCGATGGGTTCAAACGCGTGGCAAACAGGTTCGAACATGCATCGAGTAGAGTCATTACTTGAGAATTAATATGTGAAGATCACGAAAGAAATGCGCAATAAATACATTTTCGTTGATTTTATTATTGTAATGTAGCATTGTTATCAAAGAGGAATATTTTGATACGAAATAGCTAACATGGGAAAGCATCTGTTATGTTCACAGATATACATGAATATGTACCATATTGAATATATGAATATCGAATAGATATCAGTATAATCGACGTTTTGTAGACGCTAAAGATATTAGTTGAATAAAACCAGGAAAAAACAAGAAAAACGAATCAACTTATTATACATTTAGAATTCTAAGCTTTATAGAAAAAATTCTTCTTGTATGTTTTCTTTCGAACATTTCATTAGGAATCTAATTATTTCTCTTTGCAAGTCATCCTATTATGGTAAACTATATTTTACCATCCTCAATATGTTCAAGATACGTAATATACAGGGTGGTTGGTAACTGGCGGTACAAGCGGAAAGGGGGTGATTCTACGCGAAAGAAAAAGTCGAAAATATAGAATAAAATTTTTTTTTTTAATTTTTCCATCGATACAACGATCTACAGTGAGATCCGTTATAACGTATCGCACGCGTACCGAGCGAAAATTCAAAGTCGATTTTCTAGAAAACAAAGCCTCGAACGAAAAATTTTTATTCTATATTTTCGATTTCTTTTTTCGCGTAGAATCAACACCTTTCCGCTTGTACCCCCAGTTACC